GGCCACGACAAGGTACTGGGCTGCCTCCCGCAGGGGCCGCAGGAGCACCGGGGTACGCCCAGCCCTGCGTCTGCCTGCCCTTGCCCGGGCGGCTCCTGCTTCAAGCCTGCTGGGCCCCTTGGGGAGACCTGAGCTCTCCGGGCTGGCGTCCGTGGCCCAGCGCCCCAGGTAACGCTGCTGTCTGCTCCCTGCAGGCCCTGTTCTCCTTCGAGGCCGGCCGCCGCTGCGACTCCGGCGAGGGCATCTTCACCTGGGCCACCAGCCGGGCTGCGGAGCTGTGCAACCTCGTCTCCGCAGCCATCGCCCACCAGAGCAGCAGCTTCCTGGACAGGAACAGCACCCAAGCACCGGAGCCTCTGAGCTCCAGGCAGGGAACGGAGCCCAGGCTCTGGAGCTCCCAGAGCCTGGAGGAAGCGCTGCCCACCTGGGCCCTAGAGGGTGCAGGGAGGCCGCCCCTCCCTGCGGGGCTCTGTCCAGAGAGCGGACAGGCCCTGCCCTGCACCCTGGAGCTGGGAGGCCGTGTGGGGACAGGAGCTGAGCCCCCCATCGTCTATGCCTCCATCCACAGAGGCCTGCAGCCCTCGCTCAAGCCCTGGGGCGAGGCCAAGGTGGAGCAGGGAGTGGCCAGGGCGTCCCGGGGTCAGGGGCTCCCAGCTTCGGAGCATCTCTACGAGAACCTCTGCGCCCTGGGGCGCTCCTGCTCCATGGAGGAGGGGCCCTCATGCCTGGGCTCCAGGGGCTCCCCGGAAGGGAGCAGCACTGACCTGGCTCCCATCTACGACAACAGCTCCATGGTGTCCAAGCGCTGGAGCAGCCCCCTGGCTCCCAGCACGGGGCCCAGCCCCTCCCTGGAGGCCCAGTACAGGCGGCTGCTGGACCAGGACGGGCAGGAGCGAGGCGAGGAGGAGGAGGAGGGGGAGGAGGATGCCCTCGTCAGCTCCCTCCCCAGGGCCAGAGCTAACAGTGGCTTCAGGAAGTTAGTCACTCTCCTCAGCCGAGAGGTGGCCCCCAAGGGGCCTGGCAAAAGCTCCAGTGCCCTGGACAAGGCCTAGCCCCCCATGCTGGGCAGCTCCAGGCACAGGCTGGCGGTGAGGGGGGCATGCAGCTCCCCCCACACTGAGATTCACCCTAGCACACGGCCGTGTCAGCCAAGGGCAGCCCCCAGCTCTCCCCTGCCCCAGGACTCCTGGGTTCCTCAGGCAGGTGCCGGGGTGAGGCTGTCATTCCAGCAGGATGGTGGCTGCTCCCAAGCCTGGCACAGGCTGACTCTGCCCTTGGCACCTGGGCCCCTCCACAGGGGCAGGGACGGATTCTGTACAGACCTGAACTTCCCCTACGAGGGGGGGTGGGAGGGACTGAGCCAGCGTGACCTCATGCCAGGGTGGGGGTGCCTGGCACTGTCGGATGAACGGGCTGTGCCTGTGATGGGAAGGGTAACCCCTGCACATGGCAGCTGCCTGGCACAGACACCCCAGACATGCTCGAAGGGCTGAGCGTGCCTGGGAGCAACGCTGGCTGCTGTGGGTCAGGGGAGGCAGCCTGGGCTCCCTGTTCTAATCGTTGTCCCTGCGGCAGGGCCCGGCACGGGATGTTCTGAGCGCCTCCCCCCCCAGCCCCCTGGCATATGGTCTCTGGGCACACACCCCTTCCCCGCTCTGTGTGCAGGGCACAAGCTGGGCAGTGGATGGAGTGGTCAGACTCCGCCCCGCTGCCCTCCAGGCGAGCTGTGAGCGGGCAGGCGGTGCTGGCGCTAACGCTGCAGGGGAGAGTGGCCAGACTGGGTCAGCCCAAGGCCCGTCCAGCCCAGGGTCCTGTCCGCTGCCAGCAGCCAGTGCCAGGTGCCCCAGTGGGAGTGAACAGGGCGAGTGCGAGTGATCCAGCCCCGGCTGCTGGCCGTCAGAGGCTTAGGGACACCTGGAGCGTGGGTTTGCATCCCTGCCCAGCCTGGCTAATGGCCACGGATGGACCTGTCCTCCGGGAACTGATCTAGTTCTTTTTTGAACCCTGTTATAGTCTTGGCCTTCACAACCTCCTCTGGCAAGGAGTTCCACAGACTGACTGTGCGTTGTGTGAAGAAATACTTCCTTTTGTTTGTCTTAAACCTGCTGCCTGTTAATTTCCTTGGGTGACCCCTGGTTCTTGTGTTAGGAGAAGGAGTAAACAACACTTCCTTATTCACTTTCTCCACACCAGTCATGATTTTATAGACCTCTATCATATCCCCCCTTAGTCGTCTCTTTTCCAAGCTGAAAAGGCCCAGGCTTATTAACCTCTCCTATGGAAGCTGTTCCAGATCCCCAGGGGAGGTGTCCCAGAGGCCCGCGCTCGGTGCTCTGGAGCTGCTCACAATGAAGTTCAGACAGGACCCGCTAGTAGAGCACCACCCCCAAGGCACACGTTCACTAAGGCAAGACGCCTCCTTGGTTTCAGCACCTCCTGGTCTGACTCAAAGCGTTCAGCCCCCTGTTCCCACTGAGAGCTCCCCGCAGCAAGTCCCTCTGGATGGGCCACCTGGGGAAGCCTCACGCAGTGGTGGATTAGCCAATGGGGCAGGAGCCCTGGCTTATTGGGGGCCCCTGGAAAAATGGGAGCTCCTGAGCCCTGACCCCCTCTGCCCACCCAGGGCAAGCCCCTGTGCCCCGACCCCACTCCCCGGCAGGAGCACGGAGGAGAGGTGGGGGGACTGTAGGGAGGGGCCCCCACTTGCTCTGACCCAGGGCCCCACAAACCCCTAATCTGCCTCTGCTTACGTCCCCCCACAAGGGCCCATTTCACCCCTGCAACCAGCCGTGACTCCCAGCCAGCATGTGACACAGCCTGGAGCACAGCGTCGGACAGACCATGTGAGCGCAGGAAGATTCAGCGAAGTCCAACCCCCACCCCCACCCCGCCCCATGTCCCACCCAGGAGACTGAGCAGCCTCCAGCGGCCCAGCCTCAGTCACGCCCGCTCCCCCGCCTCCATCCCGGGCCAGCCGGGCCCCTGGCCTCCACCTCTCGCTTTGGTCTCCAGCTCCTCTGGCTGGCTCCCTGCAGAGGATAGGCCCGGCCTTCAATTGCCAGGATACAGTGTCGGCCATTGTCTGGGCCCAGGCGGCATCACCCCTGCCCTCTGGGGTCTCTGCAACGATCACACACCCTTGTCCTACCACCGAGATACTTGTGCGACACAGAGGGGAAACTGAGGCACGCGCTGTGTTCATACAAAACATTAAGAAAACTTCCCCTTTGTCACAGAAGGGCACTGCTGGGGGCCAGGGTAGGGTGGGATGGAGCCCGCCTTGTGCTGCACAGGACCCCACCACGTGGGTCCCACCTGCTGGTGGCTTCCCGCACCAGCCACTGTGGAGCCAGCAGGGCTCATGCTGGGGTGCGGCAGCTCCCTGCCCGGTGGGTTTCACTCAGCCCAGGAGGGTGCAGTGCAGTGCTGGGCATCTCCGCAGCTGGGCTGCTGCTGGGCATCATGAGCGCGAGCCATCTCCGGGGGCTGCTCCCTGAAGCCTGTCAGCAGCCCCTGCCCACATGAACCCAGGGCCGGCTCCCCTCCCCTCCGGGCATGCAGAGCCTGGGTGCGGCTCCGGAGCGACTGGAGCCGGGCCCACCCCTTGCGGCACCTGGGGCCCCTTGTGCTCCGCAGAAGGAGCCAGTGCCCAGTTTGCCCGACGGGTTCGGAGGTGGGAGGGGGCTGCTGGGGGCCGGCTGGAGCCCCTGCAGGAGGGAGGGCTGCACAGAAGGGGGCCGCTGCCTGTCAGGGACTCGGCCAGGCCTGGCAGGGAGGCGAAGGGGCAGAGATGCAGCGACGCTTTGCCTGAAGTACAGGGATGGTGGGAGCAGCCGCCCTGTAGACAGCTCCCGCTCAGGGGACCTGCGCCCTGTGCCGTGAGCACGCAGGAGCCGTGGGGGCGCACAGGGCTCAGGCCCAGCTCTGGGCGGCAGAGCCGCCAGCCACTGGCAGGACTCACAGTCAAGCTGAGCCCAGCCGGGTGGGTGCCCTGCCCCCGGGAGCTGCGCTGGGCCACGCCGCTGTGGGGGGCAGGCAGCACCTAGCGCTCTGCCAAGGCACTGCTGGCAGTGTCAGGCTCGCTGGGGGCTCCCCTGTCTGCTGCGTGGAGGGGGCTTGCTGGGGTTCCCCCGTGGCCTGGCTTCTAGAAGAGGCTGCTGGCTGCAGCAGGGCTAGCACCGACACGGGCTAGTGTAACTGGTGCTCCGTGGCTCACAAGGGCCTCTCGCTGGCACTCCGGATCCCATCAGGGCAGGGTCACGGCCAGGGGCAGCCAGGCGGGTCCGGTGTCTGGGGCAGGGCCTGGTGCTGTGCCCTGGGGGTGGGCATTTACTCTCTGCCCTAGGGGATTAGCTAGCGAGGGGAGGAAAAGGGGGTTTCCTGGTGAACGGCTGATCCGTTGAACACCAAATACTTAGCGGCAGTGTATCAGGTTTGTCGAACTCCCTGCGCCCCACAGACCAGATTCCCACAGGGGATCGTCCTGCCCCCGCTCCTGGAGGGCTGCAGGGCCCGGGAGCCTGGTCGCCCAGGGTCTGTAGCTCCAGGGCCAACCCTGGGGGCTGGCACAATGAGGCTTCCTGCTCCCCCCAGAATGGAAATTCTGACTCCTGACCAGCTGAGCCCCCTTCGGCGCTGGCTGGCCCCTCACCCAGCCAGCGCCGAAGGGCTGGGCAGGGCCGGACACGTGCCTTCCTGCAGCCTACCCTAGGGGCGCCAACTTTCTACTCGAACAAAACCGAACACCCCTGCCCCGCCCCTCCTCCGAGGCCCCGCCCCTGCTCACTCCATCCCCCTCCCTCTGTCGTTCGCTCCCCCCCCCCCAGTCGTTTTCACTGGGCTGGCTCAGGGGGCTGGGGTGCGGGAGGGCGGTGAGGGCTCCACATGGGGCTGCGGGAATGAGGGGTTCAGGATGCAGGAGGGGGCTCTGGGCTGGGGCAGGGGGTTGGGGTGCAGGGGGGGTTGAGGGCTCAGGCTGGGGGTGCGGGCTCTGATGGGCTGGGGATGAGGGATTTGGGGTGCAGAAGGTTGCTCCAGGCTGGGACTGAGGGTTCGGAGTGCGGGAGGGGGCTCCGGGCTGGGGAAGAGGGTTAGGGCATGGGGGGGAGCTCAGGAGTGCAGGCTCCGGGCAGCGCCTACCTCAAGCAGCTCCCGGAAGCAGCAGCATGTCCCCGCTCCAGCTCCTATGCGGAGGTGCGGCCAGGTGGCTCTGCTGCGTGCTTCACTGTCCGCAGGCGCCGCCCCCGCAGTTCCCACTGGCTGCAGTTCCCGGCCAATGGGAGCTGCGGGGGCGGCGCTTGGGGTGGGAGCAGCATGCGGAGCCCCCTGGCTGCCCCTACATGTAGGAGCCGGAGCGGAGACATGCCGGCTGCTTTCCAGGAGCCGCGCGGATCCCTGCAGCACAGGCTAGGCCTCACTGCCCCCACACCTGGTGCAGGGGCGTCAGCTGCAGGGAGGCAGGAGCTCTGCAGTTGCCCTGCTGCATGGGAAGCTGCTAAAGGCAGCAGGTTCTGGCAGCTCAGCACAGGACTTCATGGGCCGCGCCGCCGCCAGCAGCAAATGCTCCTTCCCCAGCGGCCCCCAGCAAAGCCCCTGCTCCCCATGGCTCGTGGGGTTCTTATCCTGGGGGCAGCCAGGCTGGGCTCTGGCTCCAGGGCTTCTCTCGCCAGCCGCGGGGGCTCCTGGGGCTGCTCCAGTGCAGCGCGCAGCCTCCTGGCAGGCAGGTGTTGGGCACATGGTACAATCCCCCTCTCCTCAGCAGGGGCGCAGATGTGGGGGACTCTGTCCGTTCAGAGCAGCCAGCGTCGGGGTCTGAAACGTCAGTGGTTCCACCTGGCTCCCCACGGAGCTGCCCCAGGACACCAGGTGGTGAACAGGGGGAGAGGCCTGGGACTGGAGCACAGAAACAAGACCACACGGTCACTCAGAACAGGCATGTGCACAGCTGGGGCCTTCCCACGGCTGCTGCTGTGATTGCGGCTCATCATGTGGGCCCCACGGTGAGCTGAGGGTGCTGGCGTGGCTGGCCAGGGCTGCAGGGGACCACTGGCTTGTGTAAGGATATTGGGTTTAAAAAGGTGAGAGCAGCTTTTCAGATTAGGCTGTGGAGTTCCTGGGTGCGTGTGCAATGACTGTGATCCTGCGTGTGCAACGGGCAGCGCGTGCAGGCAACCTTCAGCCACGCAGCTGGCACAACTGCACTGCAAGTCCTCCACGTGCCTTTCGACACCTCGGCCCCATGTGGCTGGCCTTAGTTTCCCTCCTCTGCCATGGAGCTAATGCACAGCACTACTTGTGAGGTCTTGCTCCTGGCCCCGGGTTACGAGAGCAGGCATCACCTTTCCCAGCGTGGGAACACAGGCCCCTGTTCGATCGGGGTGACCCCT